AACCCGTTACTAGTGTGGTGTACCTAATAAAGTGCCCGGTGAGTGTATGTATGTTGATGTCTTTCTGCTCTGGGTTCAGAGCAAAAAAAAACAACTAACATCATTTCTATTACAACATGACTGATGATTATGATTTGATGTGGTGTCTCTGGTCCATTTTGTTTATCAGACTGATGCTGACAAAACATAAATGCAAACATTAAAGCCAACAATTTATTGCCGTTTATGCATTTTTTTTGCGATTTGTGTATTGACAATAAATTTGCGATATATTGTGCAGCCCTAGTACACTGATTGCAGTTTTCTGACCAGTCTGATCTTTATAACATCTGACCTGCTGTTTACGATTTAGTAGATACAGATTTTTTTAATAAACTGACACTGTYAGGTGTTATAAGGTCACAATACACCGTTAATGTTCCAGTCTTATCTTATTGATAAACACTGAACAGTACAAAATAATAGACTAAGCCCACAGCTGAACCTTTCACTTCAGTAAAACCTGTTGAGTCTTGTGTAAAAAGCTCAGTTGTGTCATACTGAGGGGTCAGCCTGAGTCATTTTTATTATCTGAGTTCTGAAATATGTCAAAGATGGGGATGAGGTTTAGTTAACTTTATTTATATTTAGTCTCTGTTCAAAGACTGAGGAAAACAATGATGAGTGACAACTTATTTTAACACCGTCAGAGGATTTTTCACAATAAAACCTTTTAAAGTTCTGAGTCAAGTGCATACATTCTGAGAATATGTTAAAAACTGTATTTAGACAGGAAACAGTTTAACTGATTAGAGCACAGTTTGTCCTTCAACACAGATACGATTTGAGGATCGGGGGCGTCTGGTTTTCCTGTAAACTCTATGGTGGATGAGCATCAAGGGGCATTGAGAGAGTTGAGGTGCGCGTCTGGTGCTGCGCATTTCAAAGCGTTTTCACTTTCGAGCGTTTGAYGGCCATTGGAACATCAGAATATTTGCAGCTCGATGCAGAGCGTCAACCAATCAGAGAGACTCAGTGGAGGACCAAGAGACAACATTTTCTTGCTTTCAGTAAATAATAAAGCCAAGCTACTCTCTGTTTCATCCAACAAAGAGACCGGCAGAGGAAAATAACCAAAAGTCAAGAGACTCCCTCCAGCGCTCATCTTTCCACACTTTGCTCAGACATGTCTAGAGCAGTTTTGACTCTGATATCAAGCGTCTGACTTCAAAGTGCACAAACGTCCAACTTGAGGTGTTGGATTTTTTTTTTTTTTGACGCATGAAACCCGTTCGATCTGATTTGCAGCACAAAAAAAAAATACTTGTTAAAGTTTAGCAGCGTTTGTCAAAGACATGTCTTATAATAACAGAGTTCCCTCCTCAGGGTTCGACAAATCCTATTGCCCGACTGCCCGGGGCAGGTAAAACCCATATTAGGGCAGGTGGGTGTGTCCCGTTGCCTGCCCGACCGGGCAGGTAAACAATTTCTTAATTTTTTTTAATGGACCATTTATTCAAAATATACTGAAAACAAATGAAGAAATTTGGCATTTTAAAACAAGTAAAGTGAGAAAAAATCCTCAAAAAGTCTCCCTCCCTCCCGCTTTAGCAAAGTTGCATCTCGCCGTCGTGTCGTGGGATCACTTCCTCCCTCCGTCCTGGTGCACGTCGCACAGACCAAGCTTTAACAACCGTAGCGTTTTTCACGTCTGTGTTTTCAGAGGAAAACAATGTTTTTATGTACTGTTACCCACAGAGATGATAAATATATGTTTTTTATGTACTGTTACCCACAGAGATGATAAATATATGTTTTTATGTACTGTTACCCACAGAGATGATAAAAATATGTGGACGTTCGTTCAGTCATAAATCCATCTTGCTAATGTGGCTTCTGCTCTGATGATGAAGATGAGAGAGGAGCAGCAGCGGGTCAGAAGCTCATTGTATGGCAGGCAGATATAACATTTATTTGGCTTCACCACACACATATTCTAGTTATCTGAAATTGTTTTATGACTAAATTAGACATATTAGTTATTTAGGATAAAATAATAAAATGTTTTCTTTTATTATTTTGTTTTATTTACTTTTTTTTAAATTTGGAGAACTTTCCAGCTTGAGATTTTGTTTGTTTGTTGAAGTTGATTTTTGAAAATAAGGGGCAAATATGAAAAGTTTTTTTTTACTTCACTCTGCACCCTTTTACTTCAGGGTATGATTTACTTTGGGTTTTTTTAATGCTGTACATATATGGTTTTGTTTTTATGAATGAAAGAAAGAAACATAAATAGACATCTCTTAATATATTTTGACAATTCAAAATACCTATTTAAGATATCTCTAATTTTATTCTGACTATTATAAATAACGTCAGATTTATCACTAGGTTGTATGGAGACTCCAGTTCAAAATATCTTAAATGTATCTTTAGATATGGGATAGGCTATATACGATTATTTTAATGCAAGTTGTTGACTTTTTCATGTTATGTAAATTGTATTTAAAACAAAGCTGCTGCTGTTGATCATTCTGTTTTCATAAGCCCCGCCCCCAAGGCCTGTACTCTAAGGGGAAACACTGGAACGGTCTAAAAAAGTTTTTGAAGATGTTCTTGATAAAACAATTGACTGTTAGTAACTCAGTCTAAAATGTGCATCTGTTTAATCAGATGTCACATATTATATACCTCTGTATAACCATGTTAATATTTTTATAGTACAAATACTGTACATGTTTTACCCTTTTTTTTTATCAAAATTTGAACATTTTTGTTTCGGGCAGGTAACTTTTCATGTCGGGCAGGTAACATTTGTTGTCAGGCAGGTAAAAAAAAAATCTTGTCGAACACTGTCCCTCCTGCCTTTAATTGAGCTGAACCCTGGGGACACATCAGTCAGTAGAAGAAATCCACTAAAGTTCAGACTCAGTCTAACTCTTTGAAGCTGTGGTTGTAACGTGGACACTCCACGTCAGACTAAGTACAAAGTGCTTTTTCACAAGTTGTCCTGATATGTTAGAATACTAACAAGGTCCCATTCTTTCACGTTTACAGGAGAAGACCCTTGAAGATGTGARACTCACAGTCAAACACATGGACACGTCACTAGCGTGAGTCCTGGGGGGTCTAATACAACTGAAGGAAGTTCCCAGCAGCAAGTGCTGAAACACGTGCTGAAATGATTTCAGACAGCTGCAGGGAGCGTTGAAGAGCCGTGAGAGGGAGATCCTCAGCCTGAGGAGGCAGCTGGAGGCAGCGCAGGAGGAGCTGGGCTCACTCAGGAGAGACAAAGACGTCTTCATCAGAGAGAACAGGAGGCTGCAGGACGACCTGACCACGATGACCCGGGAGAACCAGGTCAGCCATCCACAGTGTTACTGACAGCCCAGCAGCTTGTGTCAGGAGTAAAGACCAGCAGCTTCTTGTTGCTCTCTGCAGACACTTCATGCAGAAATGGAGGAGGCTTTTCACGAGAAAGACGAGCTGAAGCTGAGGGTCCACTCGTACATCTCCGAAGTGTCCAGAATAGAGAAACTTGTGGCCGCAAAGGTAAGGAAGTGTCCTTCCTGGTGGCGTTGGTTGGGATTATTCTGCTGACGACAGCACTTTGACCTCCAGGAGCAGGAGAACAGGGATTTGTTGGAGAGGTTTAGGACTGCCCACTCTGAGATGAAGGAGCGGGAACAAAAGCTGCAGCAGGCTGAAGGTCAGAACACCTCCATCCGCCTGGAGCTGCTGTCCTCTGACACTGAACGCAGACAGCTTCGAGACACCGTGGGTCAGCAAGACCGAGAGATCCAACAGGTGAGATCTTTGACCATCATCTGCCGCAGGTGAAGGGTGATCATGTTGTTGGCTGTATTAGCATGATTCATGAAGTAGATGTACATCTAAACTCATTTACATTTAAGATCTCCACATACTCCATCGATCCACGTGGTTGTTGGCATTCATTTTCACACACACCTTTCACAGCCCCCGAGACACACGAGACGAGCTCCTGGGAAACCCCTCCCACTATGGGATACGCCATTCCATGGGGTTTCTTCTCACTGGAGTCTACACTACGGGTAGTGCTGTAGTCAAGACCACAGTATCTCGAGACCAAGTCAAGACCAAGACTTTTAGGGCCTGAACCAAGTCGAGATCAAGACCAGAAAAAAACGAGTGTCCTAAAAGATGGCGTATTCTGTACACATGTAGCTAACGTGATAAATCGAGCTAATATTGACAAAATCTTTGTTTGAGGGCAGAGGAGAGAATTTTGCTCAGGGCTGTACAGTGTGACATATACTCTATGTTATGTTACACTTTCAGCATAAACAAACATGGCCACAAAGATCTGACCAATCACACACACAATAAAAAACATACTCAAGATTTTTTTTAATCTAATGATACATATTCTGTTTAATTTTTATTTATTTTATCTTTTCTAAATAAAATAAAATGACTGTGTTTTAATATCCCAGCATTTTTTTTAATGTAAAAACAGCAACAGGCCTAGAGAAAAATGTCAGAGGAACACACTGAGAGGGAGCGAGACACACACATACTTTGTCTTGCTATCTTTGTGAGGACTACTCACACACACACACACACACACACAC